CGCTGGGGAGCCCTGATATCCTGGCGTCGTTTTTTCGCACCAGGCGTTTTCGGCCAGTCTCGATCCTGGGACTCTCGCAGATCGTTCCTGCTCGAGACACTGCACAGAGAAAAGGGGTCCTGGTCTCTGGCCGTGTTCACGATGTTGCACTTTTCCCCGCTCGACGGGTTGGGGTCGTTCAGAACAGACCTCCCTGCCCGCCCGCCTTGCATACCGCGGCCGCCAGATCCCGATGCTCCCGATAATCCCTGGTGGTCCCGCCCCCCCTCCGCCCTGCATACCATGGCCGCCAGACCCCCAGGCTCCCGTTCATCCCTGGTTGTCCCGCCCCCTATCTCCGCCATGCATACCGCGGCCGCCAGATCCCTATGCTCCCGATAATCCCTGGTGGTCCCCCCCCCGCCCCACCACTCTGCATACCGCGGCCGCCAGATCCCCAGGTCCCCTACAGAACAGAGCGTAGCACCACACCACCCAACAAAACAGATCCCAGCATGACATACCATATCATGATAGACCATATCGCAACATAAGACGCCATTACAGAGCAGTGCATACCATGACACAACATCACAGCACACATCGTTCCGTAACATGACACATCAATACTACCATAAAATATTCACGCGGAACTGAACATGCCCAAACCTAACGTGCCATATCGTCACATAACATGACACATGATATCCGATAAAATCACAGCAGAGCAACGCAGGCTATGACAGACCGAGCATCTATAACATAACAAAACAGAGCAGAACATGCCAGGGCATAACACTGGCCGAGACCCCGGGCCCCGCGCACATCGTTCCAGTGAGCGCGCGCACCTTCGCGATCAAACGAAGGCTTCGAAAGAGATCGCTCGAAGCAACATTTTTTTCGTTGCGTCGGAGCTCAGGGTCGGCCGCACTATAGAACGATTCTCGCCCACCGGCACCGGCACCGGCACCGGCACCGGCACCGACACCGGCACTGGCACTGGCGCTGGCACCGGCACCGGCACCGGCACCGGCACCGGCACGGGAACCGGCACCGGCACCGGCACCGGCACCGGCACCGGCACCGGCACCGGCACCGGCGCCGGCACCGGCACCGGCACCGGCACCGGCACCGGCACCGGCACCGGCACCGGCACCGGCACCGGCACCGGCACCGGCACCGGCACGGCACCGGCCGGCACCGGCACCGGCACCGGCGCCTGCGCCGGCGGCGGCACCGGCACCGGCACGGGCACCAGCGCCGTCGCCGTCGCCGGCGCCAGCACCGGCTTTGGCACCCGCACCCGCAACCGCACTGGCACCAGCATTGGCACCGGCACCGGCACCGGCACCAGCGCCGGCGCCAGCATTGGCACCGGATGAAAAACATCATTGACATTGAACATCATGACATTTCCCAAACAGTGCTTGCACTTAGGGGGCCTTCTCTCTTTCCTAGTAGCTGGGTCTGAGGGGCGGTCTGGCGGCTCTTTCCTCGCCGTTGCCGCCCTGTCGCCGCCCGTCGTCTGGGCTTGAGGGGCGGTCTGGTTTTTCCGTCCTTGCCGTCGCCCCCCCTTGCTGCGTCGTCGCCGCCCGTCGTCTTGGCCTGAGGGTCGGTCTGGCGGTTCCTTGCTCGCCGTCACCGTCCCGTCGCCGCCTCCTCGTCGCTGCCCCTGTGGGCCCCCCCAGCGGTTGCAATCCAATCGGTTGCAAGCCAATCAAGTGCAAACCCAGTGGAATCGATTGCAGTCCAATCAATGGTAAAATTATGCAAACGGAGTTCCCCACATAAAGATATTAACAGTTTCGTTGGACCCATGGGGTACGACAACATCAACACGAAGGATACTATAATCGAGCGAGTAAGTACGCACGAAAGGGCAGACGAAAGAAAGGAGGAGGGAGGACAGGTGCTCAGGAAACGAAGCCTTGTAAATAGTACGGGTTCTTGATACCCTCTTCGCTCTGGCGGGGCCCCGCTGGAAGGGGGGAGGCCTACGAAACCTGGTAAAGAGTAATGCTGTCCGCGACCCTCCTCGTTCAAGCGAGTCCTCCTCCTCCTCCTTCTCGTCGTCCTGCTCCTCCTCGTCCTCCTCATCCACGGCATCGTCATCATCATCATCATCATCATCATCATCATCATCATCATCATCATCATCATCATCATCATTATCATCATCATCGCCAGCATCATCCTTGTCATCATCAGCATCATCAGTAGCATCGTCGCCACCCCGTCGTCGTCATCATCAGCATCATCGTCATCATCAGTATCAACATCATCAACATCATCATCATCATCGTCAGCATCATCGGCATCATCATAACCATCATCATCATCCTCATCATCATTATCAGCATCATCATCATCGCCAGCGTCATCGTCATCATCATCATCATCATCGTCGTCGCCACCATCGTCATCATCATCATCATCACCAGCACCGTCATCATCATCACCATCACCGTCCTTGGCATCGTCATCGTCCGCATCATCGTGGACGTCATGATCGTCATCATCATCGTCGTGATCATCATCAACAGCACCAGCAACGTCAGCATCAGCAGCAGCATCGTCATCATCACCAGCATCTGCATCATCATCCTCGTCGTCGTCGCCATCGTTGTCATCATCGTCATCGTCATCATCATCGTCGTCATCATCATCCGCATCATCGTCATAATCACCGTTATCGCCATCGTCATCGTGCATCACTATTATCGCCATTGTCATCGTCATCGTGAACAACAGTATAACCATCGTCATCACCATCATCATGATGCAACCTTCCTCATCGCAGAACTCCCCCTCCTCCTCACCCTCCTCAGTGGGAGGGGTAGGACGTGAGATGGATAGGTAATGTTCCCCCCTCCTCCTCACCCACGTCAGTGGGAGGGGCACGAAACCATTTAAGTAGTATGGGTTTCCGATACCCTCCTCGCTCAGTCGGGGCCTCCCTGGATGGGTGGGAGGGGCACGAAACCATGTAAATAGTATGGGTTTCCGATACCCCCCTCGCTCAGGCGGGGCCTCCCTGGAGGGGTGGGAGGGGCACGGAACCGTGTAAATAGCATGGGTTTCCGATACCCTCCTCGCTCAGGCTGGGCCTCCTTGGAGAGGTGGGAAGGGCACGAAACCATGTAAATAGTATGGGTTTCCGATACCCTCCTCGCTCAGGCGGGGCTTTCCTGGAGGGATGGAGGGGGCATGGAACCATGTAAATAATATGGGTTTCCGATACCCTCCTGGCTCAGGCGGGGCCTCCCTGGAGGGGTGGGAGGAGCACGAAACCATGTAATCTTTATTAATTTCCGATACCCTCCTCGCTCAGGCGGGGCCTCCCTGGAGGGGTGGGAGGGGCACGAAACCATGTAAATAGTACGGGTTCCCGATACCCTCCTCGCTCAGGCGGGGCCTCCCTGGAGGGGAGGGAGGGGCACGAAACCATGTAAATAGTATGGGTTTCCGATACCTTCCTCGCTCAGACGGGGCTTCCCTGGATGGGTGGGAGGGGCACGAAACCATGTAAATAGTATGGGTTTCCGATACCCTCCTCGCTCAGGCGGGGCCTCCCTGGAGGGGTGGGATACCCTCCTCGCTCAGGCGGGGCCTCCCTGGAGAGGTGGGAAGGGCACGAAACCATGTAAATAGTATGAGTTTCCGATACCCTCCTCGCTCAGGCGGGGCCTCCCTGGAAGGGCGGGAGGGGCACTGGGAGGCGGGAGGCGGGAGGGAGAAGGAGAGGATGTTCTGGGAAAACAAGAACCCGCACCAGCACCGGCCACCAGCACCAGCACCAGCACCGGCACCGGCCCCGGCACTGGCACCAGCACCGGCTACCGTCCACCGGCACCGGCCACCGGCACCGGCACCGGCACCGGCACCGGCACCGGCACCGGCACCGGCACCGGCACCGGCACCGGCACCGGCACCGGCACCGGCACCGGCACCGGCACCGGCACCGACACCGGCACCGGCACCAGCACCGGCACCGGCACCGGCACCGGCACCAGCACCGGCACCGGCACCGGCACCGGCACCGGCACCGGCACCGGCACCGGCACCGGCACCGGCACCGGCACCGGCACTGGGGCAAGAATCGTTCATGCCTTGTCGGCCGCGGGGCCGAGGGATCTGCTGCAGAGCCACCAAGGCAGGTTTCTTTTAGGGTTCAAGGAAGTCGGGGGGTCGATGGCGCCGCCAGGGGGTCGTCCTAGCGCAGATCCAAGAAATGCTTGCGGACTTTCGAGGAGGAGGAGGAGGAGGAGGAGGAGGAGGAGGAGGAGGAGGAGGAGGAGGAGGAGGAGGAGGAGAAGGAGGAGGAGGTTTGTGCAATTGTCTGTTCTTCCACTGGACGGCCTCCACACCCTGCCGCCGCCTCAGGCGGCGCCCCAGTGCCGAGGTGTTGAGGCCGCCCTGGACTGCCTGGGGGGCCTCTCGAGGCCAGCTGGGACCGCCTCGGGGGGCTGTCTGTGCGCGGCCCGAAGCCCTACCTACCAGTCCCAGTGTCATGGGATCTCTAGCTGCCAAGCACTTGGGGCCTCGGGTCCCAGGCTGTCAGAGCCACGCGCAGCGACGCCCTGGGGCTTCTCCCCCCTCCCAGGGCTGCTGGGAGAGGATGACCACGCGGGCTCCCGACGTCAGGACTTCTTCGCGACTTGACCCACGGAGGTCTGAACCCTCTTCCCGGGGACCGGTTTTTATCCTGAGTAGTTTTTCACGGCCCTGGGCCCGGCGAGGGCCTCCGATGGAGGCACCCCATCGTATTTTTTCAGGATGCGAGGGGGTCTGGGCTGGGTCTGCGTTCGAAGAAGAACAGCATACATAAACATAAGCGTTCGGAGCTCCGCGCGGATTTTTTTTGATCTACGCTGGAACTCCTCGGCGGCGCCTCTGGCGCCGTCCCTGGCGCGCGGAGCGCGCCAGGGAGGGCCCAACGACGAACAAAAGAAACCCGAGCGGAGCTCCGAACGCTTATGTTTGTGCAGTTTTGGTTTCTCTGAGTTCCTTCCTCCCCCCAGGTTGCTGGGAGAGGATGACCACACGGACGCGGAGACGCCCACGCAGGCGTGCTCCCAGCACCTGTCCCTCTTAGCACAGGGCGCGGACCTGGACAACCACGGCTCTGAAGGGCAACGTGGGTGGCGGCGCAGGGGGGGATGCATCGGCCCTCCTCCTCTCCTCCCCCGCCCCCTCTTCTTGTTTCTCCTTCTCCTCTCTGCCCCTCCTCTTCCTCTTGTTCCTTCTCCTCCTCTCTGCCCCTCCTCCCCCTCTCTGCCCCTCCTCTTCTCGTCCCTCCGCCCTCCTCCTCTCTGCCTCCTCCCTCCTCCCTCCTCCTCTTCATCGCCCCTCCCTCCCGGAGGCGTGCTCCCGGAGGCCGCCGGGCCGACCTCGTGACAGGGCCATCAGGAGAGTCACATCCCCCAGGCTGGCCGCTCCGTGCTCGACGCGTCTACCGGGAGCCTGCTCCGCGGGGTCTTGCCTTGCTTTGCCTCGTCTTCCCCCTCTTTCTCTCCACCTCCTCCTCCTCCTCCTCCTCATCCTCCACCTCATCCTCCTCTTCCTCTTCACCTTTCTCCTCCTCCTCCTCCTCCTCCTCTTCATGTCTCTCCACCTCCCTCTCTCCCTCCACTCCTCCTCTCCTCCTCCTCCTCCTCCCTCCTCCTCCTCCTCCTCCTCCTCCTCCTCCTCCTCATCCTCCTCCTCCACCTCCTCCTCCTCCTCCTCCTCCAGCTCCTCCCCTCCTCCTCCTCCATCCCCTCTCCTATCCTCCCCCTTTCCTCCTCCTCGCCCTCCTCCTCCTCCTCCTCCTCCTCTTTCTCCTCCTCCCCCTCCTCTTCCTCCTCCTCCTTCGTGGTAACGTTAGGGAGGGTAGGCTCAGGGTGGAGCTGGGTCAGGGGATCGAGGTTCAGTCTTCGAGGGTCGATGTTCGCTTTCAGGTTTTTTTCTGGATCGTCCTTGGGCGCCCTCGATGCCTCGGTAGTATCCGCTTCGGAATTCTCCTCCTCCCTCCTCCCTCCTCCCTCCTCCTCCTCTTCCTCCTCCTCCTCCTCCTCCCTCCTCCCTCGTCCTCCTCCCTCTTCCTCCTTCCCTTCCTCCCTCCTCCTCCTCCTCCTCCTCCTCCTCGTCCTCCTCCTACCCTTTGAGAGGTCCATGGGGATATTTTGATACTGTTGTATTTTTCTGAATTTGTCGGAGGCTTTTTGGGCCCGAGGTCGTCTCCATCAGCTGCGCCTCGTCGAGGGCGTTCTGGGGATGACGCGACCCCCTTAGGAACCCAAGCTGTTTGAAATGGATCTTCAGGATTCCTAATTATTCGGATGGTTACCAATGGATTCCCAGGGGGGACCTCGGGATTCCTAAGGATTCTTTCGGATTTCGATGGGTTCCCAAGGATTCGTAAACGTTCCTGAGGAGTCCTAAGGATGCCTAAGGGTCCCTAGGGATTCCGACGGATTCCGATGAATTCCTGCAGGTTCCTTAGGATTTTCACGGATTCCCAAAGGTTCCCCAGGATTCAGGAGGATTCCGTTAGGTTCCTGGAGATTCCCAAGGATTCCGAAGGATTCCTCGGGATTCCCCAGGAATCATCGGGATCCTGAGAGATTCCTAAGGGTTCCTCCATATTCAATATGCCCAAGGATTCCCAATACAGCCATCGTATACCTTTAGATTCCTGAGCAGTCTTGGAGAATCCTAAGACTCCTCTGGATTCGTCAGCATTTCATCGGATCCTGAAGGGTTCCGATGGAGTCCTAAAGGTTCCTAAGGCTTCCTAATGGTTCCGAAGGATTCCCACGGAACCGTAAGGAATTCGTAAGGTTTCCGAAGGACTCCTAAGGAGTCCTAAGGATCCCAAAGGATCCTTAAGGATACCAGCGGAGTCCTCAGGATTCATCAGGATGCCCACGGATTTCTACGGATTCCTAAGGCTTCTTCGTTTCTATTACGGCTCATAGTGGGGAGCTTCTATGATATGTAGTTCAAGGGATTCCGTACTATGAATCATCAAGGGGAGTCCGTATAATGACTCGTGGTCAAGACTCCCTACTATGAGTCATAGTGCAGAGTCCCTACTACGACTCATAGTAAGGAGTCCCTATTATGACTCAGAGTAAGGAGTCCCTACTCTGACTCATAGCACGGAGTCCCTACAGAGACTCGCTGTTATGACCCATAGT